TACTCATATTCCCATTTTCATTTTAAATAATTCTTTATCTTCTTATCCTAATCTAAATTTTCACAGTTCTATCGACTATTTAAATTTAAGATATATATTTCAATCCCCCTCCCCCTTTTTTTGGTCATGAATCTAGTTGATTTAATATATATTAGGTGTCTAAGAAAATTGCAAAGTATTTTGAGTTGCAAAACTTTCACTTTGAAGTTTTAGTATAATACATCTTATTCTTAATTTTGTATCTGTTGTTGCTCAAAGGATTATAACGTCAATTGTTATGATAATACGAGTTTGTAAGTTAGTTAGAAGATTGTGGAGAGCCTTGATGGATTATTTCATTGGTGGATAGGGTGGAATTATAAGAAGTTAGTTAGAAGATTGTGGAGAGCCTTGATGGATTATTTCATTGGTGGATAGGGTGGTCTAACGGTGCTTCTTGTGGCAGGAGTCCCGGTCCTTGGATAGTCCAACTGAGTGCGGAGCCCTGATCCACTTTCATCTAGTGCGGATTCCGGTACGCACAACACGGTTTTCAAAATCTGTTACATTACAACAATGGAAAGGTATGCAAAACTTGTATTTCAATTGCTGGATTTGTTTTGTTGTAATCATTGTCGTCAATACTCATATTCCCATTTTCATTTTAAATAATTCTTTATCTTCTTATCTTAATCTAAATTTTCATAGTTCTATCTACTATTTAAATTTAAGATATATATTTTAATCCCCCTCCCCCTTTTTTTGGTCATGAATCTAGTTGATTTAATATATATTAGGTGTCTAAGAAAATTGCAAAGTATTTTGAGTTGCAAAACTTTCACTTTGAAGTTTTAGTATAATACATCTTATTCTTAATTTTGTATCTATTGTTGCTCAAAGGATTATAACGTCAATTGTTATGATAATACAAGTTTGTAAGTTAGTTAGAAGATTGTGGAGAGCCTTGATGGATTATTTCATTGGTGGATAGGGTGGAATTATAAGAAGTTAGTTAGAAGATTGTGGAGAGCCTTGCCATGTATTATACTTTGGGCCATTTGGAAGTTTAGGAATGGTTGTTTGTTTAATGGAGTGCTACCTTGTGCTTTTGAGTTAGGTGAGCTGATAAAGACTAGATTTGCTTTATGGGTTAAAGCTTCTGTAAAAAGGTTCATGTACTCTGTCTCGGATATAATCATCAATTTGGCTCAGATTAAGGAATGCATTTGAGGAGTGCCATGGATTTGATCAATTTTTAGCCTGCTGAGGTGAATTCTGGGTCTGATGGGTGAAAATCTGGTGGGTGAATTCTGGACCTATTTTCCTTTGCTGCTGTGAATTTGGCTCAGATTAAGGAATGCATTTGAGGAGTGCCATGGTTTGGATCAATTCTTAGCCTGTTGAGGTGAATTATGAACTGGTTTTGGGGTGTATGGTCTGTTATAATCTAAGGGCTGTTTGTGGGACTGATGGGTGAAAATCTGCTGGGTCTGTTGGGTGAAAATCTGTTGGGTGGATTCTGGACCTGTTTTTTGCTGCTGTGTGGCTGGTCTGATACTTTGCATCTGCTGCTGTGTATTTGCTGCAAGCCTCTATTGTGTTAGTTTTGTTGTGTATCTGCTGCAGGCTTCTATTGTATCTGCTGCTGGTGGTGGCTATATTAGTTTTGCTGTCTCTGTTGGTTCCTCACCAACAGGGTCATGGTATGGTGTTGCCTTGTGTTTGGCTTGCATCATTCCTCCCTTTTGCTGATGTTTTTTTCCTTCTTGTAAGGTTTTCCATCATCAATAAAGGGTCCTTTGTTGTTGATCAAAAAAATACGAGTTTGTAAGTTGTGAGACATTATACATGTATATGCGACAAATGCATTTTAATAAAATATTTGTGCCAAATTTCTTATAACTGAAAGTCACATGATTTTCCTAACAGGTGCTATAATTTTTTTATTTTTATTTTCCCCCATATTCATCTTTACAAACATTTTCATTCTTATTAATTTAGTTTTTGAGTTTTTTCTCTTTCTTTTACTTTTGACAAATAATCGCTAAGTTTTGTTAGTATATCAATCTTTCAATTTTTATTTTTATTTTATTGAAAAACATTTTTTTGCTTATCATTGGCTTTATATATGAAGATTAGTATTACTCTTTGTTGGGATCAAAGGTTTATCATGTTACTAAAATATAATCAAAGCTAAAATTACACTTATCCGCATAGGCCTGTGAAAACACTATCCTTGTGAGTTGATATGGCTCATATACGCCCCCTTAATGGAAATGGCAGCCCTATCATCAGCAAGCGCTGCATTATGAGCAGTGTCAAATGTCCCAAGAAAATGTCTTTCTTTGGTTGAAGGGTCTCTGATTTCGACAACCTAAATGCCCCAAGGCCACTGCCTGATGCCTAGGAACCGCCCCAGCTTGCCTGCTTCTGCCGGCCTCTTCTCTCACGTGGTGGTGGTGGTGGGGGTGGTGTTTTGGTTAGAGAAAAGCGGTTTTGAACTGGGCTTGGTTGGAAGCCACTGAAGGGTTTAATTGTGTATTTGAAAGATAAGAGATTGAAGAAAATTATGAGAGAAGAAGACCCCAGGAAGAAATTGTTTGTCTTAGCAACTTGGCATTCACAGTGTTTGGTTCACTTTTGGTTCCTATATAAGAAAACCCTAAACAATAGCGCTATCATAAAAACCACTTGAAGTAAGCATATAATGAAAATCTTTGAGTAAGATTTTACATAAACAAACACTAGTCTTAGCCATTATTACCATACTATATGCTAAGCAATCTATACATATAGAGCCAGCAAGATATATAGTAGTTAACTTAAGAAATCAAATATCAAATTAATACATATAACAATGCAGCAGCAGCAAATAACTAAATTTTGTTTATAAAGAAAGGGTTCAAAAGCAAATAAAGATGATAGGAGTGAGTGAGTGAGTGAGAGAGGGAAAGACAAAATTAATGTGTGATCTAAAAAATTATTTCAAAGTGAAGTGAGGTGAGGTGAGGTGAGCTGGTAATCAAAATAAATTTAGACTACACAATAATATGTATATACACATATACACACATATTCCATTTTGAAGCATCTTGGTTGATCAGATTAAAACAAAACACAAAGCAAGCATAATATAGATTATGAAATGATGAAAGTGTTCAAACACATAATTTTGAACCATCTCAGTTGATGATATTAAAGCAAAACACAAAGCAAGCATAATATCGAGTATGAAATGATGGAACTGTCGAAACACATAATTCACCATCATCATCATATAATTAGCAGCCCACGAAAGTGACTCTCTCAAAACCCGAGATCATCTGGTAGTGAAGCATTATTGAGGACATCACTAATCGCCGCCGCGGCCAAGACTCAGGCAAACCATCCTCCTTTTTTCTTCTTTGTAGGCTCAGCCTGTTCTTGCACTTGCACCAGAACTGGAGGAGGACAAGGTGAATTATACTGCCCGGCTGCTGCTGCTGCCGCCCCATATGACCGTGGACCCATGACTGGAGGAGGATAACAAGCGGTCAAGCTAGTCATCGCCGCCATAGCAGGCGGCGGAGGAGACAACCCCGCTCCGGCAACCTTCTCATCTTCCCACTCAAACATGAAATTGAGCGTGCCGTTGGAATTTCCAGAAGTGGTCCGAACATGATAGGTCAGACTACCCTCGATCGAGCCCATCAGGTCTTTAACCTTCACAAACACTTCTCCGATGACCTTATCGCCATCGTTTTGATCGCAACAGTTGAGCTCGAACACGACGATCTGGGCCTCCGCGGACTCCTTATCTAAGTTGAAAGTGATCTGACCGTTCCAGGTCGGGTTCGTGTCACTGTCTCTGTCCACGGCGGTCTTCTGTTTTCCACCGCCAGAGATGAAGGCGTACGTGCACACCTCCATCTTGTTCAAAAGTTGGACTCTCTGGAGATCTTTCGCTGATATGAATGAGATCTTCAGAGTGCGTTGATTCTTCTCCATAGTGATCTTAATTCCTCAATTCAAACGGAAACGGAACCCTAAAATGAGTGTGAGAGAGAAAGAGAGAGAGAGAGAGAGAGAGAGAGAGAGAGCGCGCAGGAAGGAGAGGACTGGGGGAGTATAGACCTTTTTTTGGAAGTTAGGTCGGGGAGTATAGACACTGAAGATATGGTCGTGGAAGATTGAGGCTCATTTTGGCAACAGTTAAAAAAGTAAATTTTTTTGGGAAATTATTCAATACTTTCGGAGCACCACATGTTCATACTCCAAACCAATCACCAATTAGTTAGTCCCATGTTGTCCCTCCATCTCCAACATAAATCGTGGGCCCTCGTGTCTCTTCATCAATCAAAACCTTATGGAACACCACGTGTCCATACTCCGGGAGTACTGAATAATCACCCAATTTTTTTACCTTTAAAAGTTAGTTTTTTTAAGTTAAAAGAAGTCAGTTTTTTAAAAGAAGTCATTTCATGATTATTTTCATAATATTTTTTTTCATAATCCGTAGCATAACGCAGGTGTGTTTTAAAAAATTAATAAAAAATTAAATTTTTTACTTTTTCACTTTTTTTAACCAAAAAAAAAATAAAAATAAATAAAAAACTGACTTCTTTTAACTTAAAAAAACTAACTTTTGAAGGTAAAAAAATTGGGTGATTATTCAGTACTCCCGGAGTATGGACACATGGTGTTCCATAAGCTTTTGATTGGTGAAAAGACACGAGGGCCCACGATTTATGTTGGAGATGGGGGGACAACATGTGACTAACTAATTGATGATTGGTTTGGAGTATGAACACGTGGTGCTCCGAGAGTATTGAATAATTTCCCAAAAAAATTTACTTTTTTAACTGTTGCCAAAATGAGCCTCAATCTTCCACGACCATATCTTCAGTGTCTATACTCCCCCACCTAACTTCCAAAAAAAGGTCTATACTCCCCCAGTCCTCTCCTCCCTGCGCTCTCTCTCTCTCTCTCTCTCTCTCATTTTAGGGTTCTGTTTCCGTTTGAATTGAGGAATTAAGATCACCATGGAGAAGAATCAACGCACTCTGAAGATCTCGTTCATATCAGCGAAAGATCTCCAGAGAGTCCAACTTTTGAACAAGATGGAGGTGTGCGCGTACGTCTTCATCTCTGGCGGTGGAAAGCCGAAGACCACCGTGGACAGAGACGGTGACACGAACCCGACCTGGAACGGTCAGATCACTTTCAACTTAGGTAAGGAGTCCGCGGAGACCAAAATCGTCGTGTTCGAGCTCAACTGCTGCGATCAAAACGGCAGCGATAAGGTCATCGGAGAAGTGTTTGTGAAGGTTAAATACCTGATGGGCTCGATCGAGGGTAGTTTGACCTATCATGTTCGAACCCCTTCTGGAAATCCCAACGGTACGCTCAATTTCATGTTTGAGTGGGAAAATGAGAAGGTTGTCGAAGCGGGGTTGTCTCCTCCGCCGCCTGCTATGGCGGCGATGACTAGCTTGATCGCTTGTTATCCTCCTCCAGTCATGGGTCCACAGTCATATGGGCGGCAGCAGCAGCAGCCGGGCAGTATAATTCACCTTGTCCTCCTCCAGCTCTGGTGCAAGTGCAAGAACAGGCTGAGCCTACAAAGAAGAAAAAAAGAGGATGGTTTGCCCGAGTCTTGGCCGCGACGGCGATTAGTGATGTCCTCAATGATGTTTCACTACCAGATGATCTCGGGTTTTGAGAGAGTCACTTTCATGGGCTGCTGATTATATGATGATGATGGTGAATTATGTGTTTCGACAGTTCCATCATTTCATACTCTATATTATGCTTGCTTTGTGTTTTGCTTTAATATCATCAACTTAGATGCTTCAAAATTATGTGTTTGAACACTTTCATCATTTCATAATCTATATTATGCTTGCTTAGTGTTTTGTTTTAATCTGATCAACCAAGATGCTTCAAAATGGAATATGTGTGTATATGTGTATATACATATTATTGTGTAGTCTAAATTTATTTTGATTACCAGCTCACCTCACCTCACCTCACCTCACCTCACTTCACTATGAAATAATTTTTTAGATCACACATTAATTTTGTCTTTCCCTCTCTCACTCACTCACTCACTCACTCACTCACTCGTGTCATCTTGCATGAACTTGATTCTATATATTTAGAAAGACGTCATTTGAGTGGGGTGCTTCATGTATATTATGTATAAAAAGAAAAAAAAAAAAAAATCAATCTGATAATCGTAACTATCGTATTTATATTTAAAAAAAAATTAACTAGAATTGTGCTCTAAAACATAGACTATCAATCTTTTTAAGTGACAAATGAAATAAATTAAGTAATTATAATTATTGAATTGACATAAATTTTTTTATAAAAAATATTAATAAATAATTTTATAAAATAAATAATTTAATTTATTAAAACGAAACCCAACTCCTTTCAAAAATATTTTCCAGTGATGACAACATCGAAACCACCACTTTTCCTCCCTTTTTCGATTTGGAATCATTTGAATTGAGAATAGTGTTGATATTATTTTAAAAATACGATCATTTCAAGACTAGTGTTATTGAAATTTAAAAATTAAGTTTATTTTTTAAATTTAATAATGTGATATTTTATTAAAATATAAATTCTTTTATATTTTTTTTAATTATTCATCAATTATTTTATTTACATATTATTAAGTTTAGAAAGTGAATTTATATATCATTTACTTTATTTCAATTAAAAATTATAAATGAATTTTCATTACCATTATGGTATGGATTTTCCATTAAGTGATGATCTAATATTTTATGACTACTCTACAACGTTTACTTTTGGGTTATTAGCGGTGGAATTTTATTAAACATTATTTTATTTGTCAGTCACATATGCAATAGATATTCTATATTATGTGTACATAGAATAGTGATTCAAGATTTTTGGCAATCTGAAGTTAGAAATAAACATTTTTTTTTTTTGATCGGCAAAGAAAAAAACTTTATTGATGATAACAAACATACATTAGATATGGGCAAACATCAATAAAGAGAAGACAAGAGCAACAATAACTAAGCAACCCATCCTAATCCCAACTAGGTTGACACCAAGAAGGACACCCAATCAAATGAAAGCTCAAGACAAGATGTTGGTAAGAAACCAACAAAACCAAACCAAACAACAAAATAGAACAAAAGCACCCAACCGAACAAACAAAACTCCCACTTAAATCAACCCAAACCTCTGCAACATTTTAGCTATCTTGAACAAAATCTTAATTGCTGCAAATTGAAGACCACATCATTGACAAAAAACGGCATCCCTACTGTGTTATATTCCAACCATAAAGCAATTCTAATTTTAATAATCCCCGAAGACCCTTGAAATCTAGATGAACTCCTTGGAACAAACACTTATTTATGATCTTCTACACAGACCACAAGAAAGTAAAATGAATAGACTTCCAAATCCGCCTTTCAAATCTGTTAAAACTCATACCAGACCACCACTCCAAAAGGCCTCCAACAGACCCAAGTATAACCCAAGACAAATTCCATCATTCTAGAATTTCAGACCACAACCTTCATACCAAAGGACAGTGTAGAAGTATGTGATTAATAGATTCCACTACCTCCCTACAAAAAGGACAAAGATTGTTTACATTGGAATCCAGAACTCCTATTCTTTGAAGGTATGCTGTTGTTTTTACTCTTCCTTTCCAAGCCAACTAGCCAAAAAACTTAACCTTTGGTGATGCACCATTACCCCACAACAGTTTCATGATACTAATAGATGGGCCATGATTAAGCTCACACCTTCGCCTAGCAAATGAAACTAAAAAAGATCCGGACGAATCAACAATCCACCTTACTTGATCATCTAAATTGACCCTTAAATTGGAAACACCATTCAACACCTCAATAAGTCTTCTGACATCCTTCTCCTTCCAAGCTCTTAAAGGTCTTTTGAATGAGAAATTCCACTCCCCTGCTACTTCTCTGGTTTGAACCAAAAGCTTTAGTGAACCATCTTTAGTCTTAGATAAACTGAAAAGTTTAGGGAAGACATCCTTCAACTTTTCATTCATCAACCATGTATCCCATCAAAAATGAATCCTCTCTCCATTACCTATCACAAATTTTGAATTATTAGCAAAAAATGAATACAGATCAGCATTTTCCCGCACAGAGGATAGTATATCTTGCCAAACTATGGACATCGAACTAGAGATCACCATACATGGACTCTAGCCACCACCATCATGATCATACTTACTGCACACAACACCCTTCCATAATAAACCATTCTTAGAACCATATCTCCACCACCATTTTAGTGACAAACTCTCACTCAAATCCTTGATTCTGCCTAAACCCAGGCCTCCTTGCTCTTTAGTCTTGGTAACTTCCATCCATTTCACTAGATAAAACTTTCTCTTCAACTCTGACTCCCCTCCATAGAAAAGCAGCTTGCAACCTCTCAATACTCTTTACCACTCCTTTTGGCATTCTAAAAATAGATAAATAATAGATAGGCAAGCTTGATAACACAGACTTGATAAGTGTCAATCTACTAGCAAAAGATAATAGCTTCCTTTTCCATGATGATAGTTTCACCTTCACCTTATCCACAATAGGCTGCCATGTCTTATTCCTCCTTGAATTGGCCCCCAAAGGTAGCCCCAAAGTTAGAAACAAACTTAAAACCTTATCTCACTATTTTTTTTAAAAATTGAGACTTTTTTTTGTTTGTTTTTAAATTAGCAAAAGTCAATGGTTAGTTGCCAGATTAGCACTATGAAGAGAGTTGAAACTCGCACCCACATACTTTGTAAATAAATATTGCCCTCCTATTTCACTCCTAAGAGTGGAACCTAAGACATCACTTTTAAAAGAGACTTGGTGGCCAAAGAGCTAGCCAACTAAGTTAAAGCCCCTTAATTTAGAAAAATTAAGACCCTTTTTTTTTTTGATCGGTAAAAAATAAACTTTATTGATGAAAACAAAGGGTAACGCACATGAATACATCAATAAAGCAAGGCAAGAGCAATAAGCATCATAGTGAACCTCCAAATCCCAACTAGGCTGGCACCAAGAGGACCACCCAATCATATGCAAGCTCAAGCCATCAAAGTTGGAGAGATACCAACATAAAACCCACCAAAATAGGCACCCACTTATACAACAACCTCACCAAATTTCACAAAGAGCACCTAGGTAAAATAAACCCCCCAAAACACTCCCAAAATAACCAACCAAAACCTAATTAATTACATAACAGTACCAACAACAATAAAGCTAACAATGATATCCTCCACCAAGAATCCAACTTCATCAATCCACCCCGGCAATGAAAATTACACTGCGAGGCCCAGCAACAACAAAACTAACAATTATACCCTCCACCAAGATTCCAATTTCATCAAGCCACCCAGCAATTGAAGATCACATTGCGTGGCCCCCTACTGAACAAAATGAAACATCCCAGCAGCAAGACACCCTACAACTAAGCATCCTTATAGCACTGCCCTCTCACCACTACCCAAATAGAATCTAATATGCTTCAAGTTAAAGAGAAAATCATGCACTGTGAATTTATGATCTTTAAACACTTCCTTGAACCACACTGCCATTCTAAACTTTATCAGATCACACACACCTTCGACATTTGGAATAACATCTTTAAATAAGCATTCATTACGATGTTTCCACACGGACCATAACACTGTAATAAGAAGAGCTTTCCACATCATCCTCTTCTTTTTACTGAGCCTAAACCCTGCCCACCAGTGAAGAATAGCCTTCACTGTATCAGGCAGTGCACCTTGTACTCCCCACCAATTTAGTATTTTTGACCACACTCTCCAAGTCACTAGGCAAGACAATAGGACATGATTAATTGACTCATCCACAGATTTGCACATAATGTAGAGGGTTGATGCATTAGCATTGAGAACACCAATTCGAAGAAGAAAGTCTGTTGTTTTAAGTCTACCTTTCCAAGCAAGCCACGCAAAGAATTGGACTCTAGGAGGAATGTACTTCACCCACACCCTTTTGCTTGTTCTACTATAGCTGCCAAAACCACCTGCCAGAAATTTATAGACTGATTCAACTGTAAACCTCCCTGTTTTTGAAGCCTCCCACACCAGTGTATCTTCTAAGGGAGACCAGAGGATAGGACGAACCTCTAAAAAACCTATCAATCTGGTAACCTCTACACTTTCCCAATCATATAGCTCCTTTCTGAATTGGAACAACCACTCACCTGTAACCACCTTCCTTTCCATCATTGCAGAGAAAGACTCTCCCTTGTTTACTACCAGTCTATATAACAGTGGGAAATCATCTTTAAGACTTATATTTTCACACCATTTATCCACCCAGAACTTCACTCTATGGCCATTACCCACTTTTAACTGACAATTTTCCAAAAAAAAAAAAAAACACCATTAGGATGCTATTTTGTTCATTACTTTTCACAATATCCTTCCAAATTTTTGAACACTTGTTGTTAGAGGTGACTGAAGGCCACCAATTCCCTTCATCTACCTTATATTTGTTGCATATGACTCTTCTCCAAAGTGCTTTGCTCTCAACTCCAAACCTTCACCACCATTTTAATAAAAGGCAAGCATTCACCTCATTAACTCTTCTAACCCCCAATCCTCCTTGGTCAACAGGTTTAGAGACTTCTTTTCATTTTACTAGATGAACCTTCTTCCTTAATTCAAACCCACCCCAGAGGAATGAGGTCTGAAGCT